ACTTATATACCGCTTGATAGGGCTTTCAGCCCTCTCTAAGCGGTTTACAGAGTCAGCATATCGCCCCCACAGTCCGGGTCCTCATTTTACCCACCACGGAAGGATGGAAGGCTGAGTCAACCCTGAGCCGGTGAGATTTGAACCGCCGAACTGCAGTCAGCTGAAGTGGCCTGCAGTACTGCACCCTAACCACTGCGCCACCTCGGCACAATGTGGATGGGGATAATTAATTCATAATGAATAATGCAAGTGTGTCCAGTTAAGTATCTTATAAACATACAACTTTAAATGATATAATGAAAATGTACCGTATTTTTTTTCACTATAAGACACACCGGACCATACCAGAAATTCAGTTTTATAACTAAATACGTTATATAATTACACTTTAGGAAAATTCTGCCTAATTTAAAATATGCTTTGGTTAAATAAATTAGGATTGGGAGCTTAGTTTCTTCTGCTGTCCAAGGCTGTATATTCTTGCCTTCTTCCGGGCAGAGTAAAAGGAGCTTCTTAAATAGGGTAAGATAAGAGCTATTGCAAAATATGGTATAGCCTTGCTATGGCAATTGCCTCTTAGGAATCTGATGGACCAAAAGATGACTTACCTGAATAAAATGTGTTGATTTTGGCAAGCTCCTTCTCACAAGTTTGGAAAAACTTTTCTTCAAACTTGGCAAAATATCTCTTTACGGTATCTTCATCTGTGACTGGGGAAACAGGTAAAAAAATAGAATTTGCAAAACGATTATTGAAATCCATTCTGATATTAATCTGTTTTCTCAATTAATATCTATGTAATCTTTTTATCTGGAGGAAAGCCATTTCTTGGGAGTCTGTAACATAGTCAAGAAAATGAAATTAGACGCCTTGAAGGAAAAAAAAATCCCTCAAAATTTTAATGGGTATGTCTTAGTTTTTTATAGCAATACCAGTTCGACTTATATACCGCTTCATAGGGCTTTCAGCCCTCTCTAAGCGGTTTACAGAGTCAGCATATTGCCCCCAACAACAATCCGGGTCCTCA